ATAACCAATTATACATCTATGCACCCAACATGGAGCAACCAAGTATATAAAGCAAACAATATATTTAAAGGGAGAGGTAGATTGCAGTACAATAATAATAGGGAACTTCAACACTCCACTCTCAATAATGGACAGATCATCAACAAAGACACATCAAAGTTAAACCACACACTAGACCAGATAGGTGTAACTGATTTACTGAGTATTTCACCCAACTGCTATAGTATACACATTATTTTCATCAGCATATGGAACATGTTCTCAACAAAATACTAGCAACCAAATTCAGCAACACATTAAAAAGATCATTCACCATGATCAAGTGGGATTCATCCCAGGGATCCAAAATGGTGGATCCCTGGGATGAATGGTTCAACATATGCAAATTAATAAACATGACACATCACATGAACAGATCTGAGAACAAAAAGCATATAATTATTACAAGAGACGCCAAAAATGATGTGATGAAAGTCAACATCCCTTTGTGATAAAATCCTCAACAAACTGGGTATAGAAGGAACATACCTCAACATAATAAATGTCCTACATGACAAGCCATTCTGAATGGAGAAGAACCGAAATCCTTTCCTCTAATATCTAAAAGAAGACAAGGATGTCCACTTTCACCACTTTTATTCAATGTAATACTGGAAGTTCTTGCCAGAGCAATTAGGCAAGAGAAAAAAAATAAAGGGCAGACAGGCTGGGTGCACTGGCTAGGCCTATAATCTCAGCACTTTAAGATGCTAAGACTGGTGGGTCATTTGAAGCCTGGAGTTGAGGACCAGCCTGGGCAACATAGCGAGACCCTGTCTCTACAAAAAAAAAAACCCTAAAAACATAGCCAGGCATGATGGTGCACGTCTGTAGTCCCAGTTACTTGGGAGGCTGAAGTAAGAGGATTGCTTGAACTCAGGCGTTTGAGATTATAGTGAGCTATGATCATGCCACTGCACTCCAGCCTGAATGGTAGAGCAATACCTTGTCTCAAAAAAAAAAAAAAAAAAAAGGCACCCAGATTGAAAAGAAAGAAGCCATATTAGCCTTTGTTCACAGATGACATGACCTTATATTTTGCATTTAGAAAAAAATCTAAAGACTCCACACACGCACACACACACACACACACACACACACAAGCAAAAGACTATTAGAGCTGATAAATTCAGTAAAGTCACAGAATACAAAATCAGCATACAAAAATCAGTGGCATTTATATAGACCAACAGTGAACAATCTGAAAAAGAAATCAAGAAAGCAATCTTATTTATAATAGTTACAGATAATATATACTACCTCAGAATCAATTTAAAAAGTGAAAGATCTATACAAGGAAAACTGAAAACACTGATAAAAGAAACTGAAAAGGACACCAAGAAAATGGAAAGATATTCCATGTTCATGTACTGGAGAAATATCATTAAAAAGCAATACTGCCCAAAGCAATTTAGAGATTCAGTGTAACCCCTATCAAAATACCATGGCATTTACTTACAGAAATAAAAAAAGCAATCCTAAAATTTAGTACACGGAACCAGAAAAGACCCTGACTAGCTAAATAAATACTAACAAAGAAAGAACAAAGCTGGAGGTGTCATAGTACCTGACTTCAAAATTTACTACAAAGCTATAGTGACCAAAATAGCATGGTACTAGAATAAAAACAGACACACAGACCAATGAAACAGAATAAAGAACCCAGATATAAATCCATGCATTTACAAACAACTCATCTTTGACAAAGGCACCAAGAGCATACTATTGGGGAAAGGGCAGTCTTTTCAATAAACAGTGCTGGGAAAACTGGGTAACTGTATGCAGAAGAATGAAACTAGACCCCTATCTCTCACCATACACAAAAGTCAAATCAAAGTCAATTAAAGACTTAAATCTGAGACCTGAAACTATGAAACTAGAAGAACACATTGAGGAAACACTCCAGGATGTTGGTCTGGGCAAAGATTTTTTTTGTTTAAAACCTCAAAAATGCAGGAAACCAAGGCAAAAACTGTAATTACATCAAGCTAAAAAAAGCCTTTGCACAGCAAAGGCAACAATCAACAAAGTGAAAAGACAACACACTAAATGGGAGAAAATATTTGCAAACTGTCCATTTGCTATAGTTTGGATATTTGTTCCCCAAACCTCATGTTGAAATTTGATCTTCAGTGTTGGAGGTGTAGCCTAATAAGAGATGTCTGGGTCATAGGATCCCCATGTATGGCTTGGTGCCATCCTCTTGAAATGAGTTATTGCTCTATTAATTCCCACAAGAGTTGGTTGTCAAAAAGAGCCTGGCACCCCCTACCCCTCTTTCTTTGCTTTCCCCTCTCATCATGTGATCTCTGCACACAATGGCTCCCCTTCCCCCGTCTACCTTAGGGAAAACAGCCGGTCACCAGAAGCAGATGCTGGTACCATGCTTCTTGTACTACCTGTAGAACCATGCATCAAATAAATCTCTTTTCTTTATAAGTTGCCTACCCTCTGGCATTCTTTTATAGCAATGCAAATGGATTAAAACACCATCTGGTAAGGGATTAATAACCAGAATATACAAGGAACTCAAACAACTAAAAAAAAGAATAATACAATTTAAAAATGGGCAAAAGATTTGAACAGATTTTTCTTAAAAGACATACAAATGGCCAACAGGTATATGGAAAAATGTTCCACATCACTAATCATCAGAAAAATTAAAATCAGAACCACAATGAGATAACATCTCACCACACCAGTTAAAATGGCTTTTACCAAAAAGGAAATAACAGATGCTGATGACAATGTAGAAAAAGAGGAACACTTGTAGTTACTGAGAATATAAATTAGTATAGCCACTATGGAGAACAGTATGGAGGTTCCTCAAATAATTAATGTTAGAATTACCATATGATCCTGCAGTTTCACTACTTGGTATATATCCAAAAGAAAGGAAATAAATATACTGAAGAGATATTTGCACTCCCATGTTTATTGCAGTACTATTCACAATAGCCAAAGTATAGATCAACCTAAATGCCCATCAGTAGATGAATGGACAAAGAAAATGTGGTATGTATGCACAATGGAGTATTATTCAGCCGTAAAAAAGAATAAAATCCACCATTTGCAGCAATATAGATAGAACTAGGGGTCATTATATTAAGTGAAATAAGCTAAGCACAGAAAGACAAATATCACATATTCTCATTCATGTGGGAGCTAAAAAAAAAAATGTGGATCTCATGAAGATAGAGAGAAGACTTGTGGTTACCAGAGGCCCAGAAGGGTAGTCGGGAAGGGAAGGATGAAGACAAGTTGATTAATGAGTACAACATACAGTTAAATAGAAGAAATAAGTCTAATGTTCAATAAATCAGCAGGGTGACTATGGTTAACAATAATCTACTGGACATTTCAAAGTAGCTAGAAGAGAATAATTTGAATGTCCCTAGCATAAATAAAAGATAAAATATTTAAGGTGATGGATAGCCCAGTTACCCTGATTTGATCTTTACTCATTATGTGAATGTAGCAAATTATCACAAATATGTATACCTATTAAGTATCAATTTTTAAAAACTTAGAAAAAAGAGAGAGATATAGAAAGGCTATAAATAAGTGCCAACCATTGATCATAAAGGTATTTTAGGAGTTCAGGGGAAAGAAAGATAAATGAAGGCAAGAATGATCTAGGAAGACATCCCCCAAAGGCCAGAGCATTTCATTTATGGCAAAACAGCAAGAGCTAAAATGTAGACGTCAGAATATGGGAGTGTAACCAAGAAAGAGATGTGAATAGCAGGAAAGAATGGGAGAAACGGTCAGGGACCAGGAGTGGGCCATACTGCTGGTTGCAAGACACAGTGAATGGTGCAATGAATGGATAAGAGAAGAAAGCAACGAGGCAATTTCACTCTTTGGAGTTTGTTGTTTTTGAGTAGTACCTTCACCAACAAAAAGCAACATTATCAAAGACATGAAACCACAAATACCCATAAAATCAGTGAGAACCGCAGTGTATTGTAAGGCTTCCTTAGATGGCCAAGAGGCCAGAACCACTTCCATCTCTGCCTCTAGCCGTGAAAATATAAACGTGACTACTCTGTTTCAATGACATAACTCTGCTTGTAACTGCGCGCACACACACACACACACACACACACACACGTTATCCTTGCCTCTTTGCCCTTATTCAAGATGTGCCCTCTTCCAGGAATGTCTTTTCTTTGCTTGACAAAAATTCATTTCAAGTATCATCTCCTTCAAAACCTTCTGCTCTAAAACACCACTGTACCTTCCACTGTGTTGCACCTGCTCACCAGTTTCACTCCCTCCTGGAGCAGACACTATGTGGCTTACCTTGATGTACCCAGTGTTCAGCTGTGGCAGACACTAACAAATCCTAGAAGGCCATTGCATGCATGCTTCCCTGTGACAGCAGAGACGCTTGGCTTGAACAAGCAATCCTCCATAACCATGAGTCCAGAACTTGACATTCAGGTATTTTTCACAACTGAAATTCAAGACCTGTTCGTTGTTGTTGTTGTTGTTGAGGTTACCAGCAGGTTTTTAAACATGTCGATGCACGGGGCCTCAATGCCTGCAACCGTGACACATTCAGCATATGGTTTTCTAGCATCTTTGCATTGAGAGCTATAGTTGCAGGAGCCTTGTTGGCATCACTGGTCCTGGCTTGGGCACAATATACACCTGTGATCAGATCAACTGAGGATTGTGCCTCATAGCCTGCATTATCAGAGAGGTCATCGGGTATTCTGCTCAAATGTCACCTCCTCAGAGTTTCCCTGACCAATTGAAAATAAAATAACCTGTCACTCCCATTCCCTTTTGTTGCTTTGTTTACTTCATAGCATTTCTATCTGAATCCCAACTGTGATTTCTACACCTTTTATATAATATTTTACTTACATAAGAATTATTATAAAGTTTTTAGTGTATAATGGATGGAAAGTCAACTTTTTGTATCTCACCTTTTTTCTTCTTTATTCTTAAAGGAGGATTCTTTGGACCACATTTTGGACTTGGAAGATGTTTGCAAAACTTATGAAAGAGGAAAGAGTAAAAGAAGAGAGGCGAGAACAACTCCGCAGAAAAGTGATGGAAATTCTTCCAGACTTCCAGGTGCCTCCTGGAAGTGACTATTAGTTGGACCAGCAGTTGAGTAAGATAAGTGAACACAGGCTAGGGTCATGCTTGGGGCGAGATCTTGATTGGTCCCCATGTGTGTTTCTTCCACCCATCCACATATATACACATACCTGGTTTATTTTCTGTGTGATTCTTAGATCAAAGGAATTATGTTGGGAATTTGTATTTCCTTCTTTTGACTTTTCCTGGATTGCTGGTCATTCACTATAGCATTTATCACAGTGGGACAATCCAAAGGAACATTCCAGTGCTCTACTGTTCAAATGTATCCTACATAATTTTAGCACAGTGAACTTTAAAAAGGATAATGGCTTGCCTACCTGCACCTGTGAAGAAAAATACGTGTCCTTGTAGCTTAGCATTGAGTTGTTAATAAATATAGATATAAAAAGTGTGAGTACTTAGGAAAGGAGGCACAGGTGGTCTGTCTTCTAGTGCCTTAGCACTGGTGACAGGCCTCCCAGAAGCCATCCTTTCTGACCATCCCTGATGGCAAACCACATATCTAAAGGTGCTCTACACATCAGCTACAGAGGTAGCAGCTTGTCCTGGGTTCAGAGAAACTGGGGAGCCAAAGATCCTTCTCTTTAGTGTACCTTGATAAGCATGAAGGAAATTCCAAAAGGTAATTCCTCTATCAAGACAGCCTAGCAGTTCATTAAAATATCTGCTCATGCTCCCAACTGCAATTGCTAAATAATACACTCAGTTTGTCTTCTGGTACTCAACTCAGCTTGATCTTGATACTGAGATGCCTATTTTGAGTTCAAAGAAGGTTTTAATCTTTAAGGTGCTATGAAGACTGATAAAATGCTCTCTTTTGTGAATTGTCTTAGAGTTACCTGCTAAAATTTTTTTTCATTACAAAATACATGTTTTTTATAACAAGTTTAAGCAGTTCATAAATGCATATGGCAAAATGAGAAAGTTCCTTGCAGCCCTGAGGTGACTACTTTTATTTGGTATGTTGAAAATTTAAGATGGCCAAATAAAATTGTTTTTTTAAGTGAATATTCTTGTTATTATTTTGTACTTCCTAGAAGGGATATCTAGCTACACCTCCTGCAAAATGATTTCTATCCTTTTTTCATGAAAGGTGTGTGATGATTTACTAAGATATGACAAAACACCCTGAACCAAACTTGATTTCTTCTGTATCCCTGTTCCCACATATTTTTCCCCCTTAATGTGATTATACAATTGTCATCTAAAAACTCTAAAGTGTTTTTCTTTTGAAGATTAATGGTCACTAAAGAAAATGGAACTAAAAGTAATTCATACTAAATCTCTTTCCATCTAAATTACTATCTGTTTATACTTAACTATGGTACAGTTACAAAATATTGGCTGATATTAACACCCAGAAACCAAATAGCAATTGTATTTTAATGCCAAGCCTGTAGATAAGGAAAGCTGACTTCCTAAAGAAAACATGCCTGGGACCTAAAAAAATACACAAGGCTTAAATTTTCTTTCTTAAGCTTACTTTTATTTTTGCCTCACCTCAAATATCAACTAGAAATTGAGTCTTTAGCAGCCCATATTCTGATTGGGCCAACTACACTTTTTTTTTAGTTGGGGGTCTCTCACTTTGTCACCCAGGCTGGAGTGCAGTGGCACGATCACAGCTCACAACAGCCTCAACCTCCTAGGCTTAGGCGATCCTTCTGCCTCAGCCTCCCAAGTAGCTGGAATTACAGGTGCACTAGACATTGTGCCTACTTACAGAACCTTCTAACAAGATCTAAGGGAAATAATTCTGGGGGTGTTTCCTGCTGGATTATCAAGAATATATGAGGTGAAGTGTTACTAACATAATGCCTCAACAAGCAGAATCTCTGACCTACAAAACTGGAAAGATAACTACCAGGAAAATAACAGCACAGGACTGGGGACAGGTCCACGCGACGAGGATATCTAAGGGGGCAAAGAGGCAGCACAGCTATCATGCAGGGCTTTCTGACAGCGACAGAGGAGGCACGTCAAGAAACACCAGCTATTTTCTTTAAAGAAGGCAATTTATTTTCCACTTAAACAATTTGGCCACAGGACATTATTTTACATAAATGGCAGTATTTTGTGAAATCTCCATTTAAAAGGCCTTGTGTCTGAGTCTGAGGTGATATGAGGATATGAATACAAGTATAAAAACAGTGCAAAACATCTAGCCCACAACTTCCAGAGTTGGCTTTGGAGATTCTCCTTTAATGCTGCTGGGCCAGTTACATTAAATATTAAATTTAACATTAGATAAGTATTCCCGGGTTTCCTTTAGTTGAGCATTGGTCCCTGAAATGTAGTCAAATGAAAAGGCTCAAAATCCCTAACAACTCAAACCATCAAATCACCCAGGTCACAGGCTCACAACACGAGTTGAGCTTGCCAGCTCTATAACGTGGCATCTTGTCAGTGGTGCCACAGGATAAACACAGAATTTTAGTTGCATCATTGACTAGACCACCTCTGATTTTCTGTTTTTGTTTTGTTTTGGGGGGTCAGGGTGTCAATATGTCACCCAGGCTGGAGTGCAGTGGCATGATCACAGCACACCACAGCCTCGATCTCCTAGGCTTAGGCAATCCTCAGCCTCTCTGGTAGCTGGGACTACAGGCATGTGCCACTACACCCAGCTAAATGTTTTATTTCTATTTTTTTTTTTTTTAGAGATGAGGTCTCTCTAAGTTACCCAGACTAGTCTCAAATGCCTGGGCTAGAGCAATCCTCCTGCCTTGGTCTCCCAAAGTGCTGGGATTATAGGCATAAGCTACCGCGCCCAGCCTAGCTCTGGTTTTAAAGCTTTGCCTTTTAAGTATAAATTTCTAGAGGTGAAAGGTACCATCAAGAAGGCTGGAGCACTAAGAAGTCATAAGCCCAACTTGAACATAGCCATAGCCTCTAAGAAATTTGTTCCCTATCTGTTCAGTGAAACATGTAGTGCCAGTTGAAGTATAGATGCTTGTTCACTGGCAGCAGGAATAAACTTAGCTGATTTTGCAAAAAAATTGGTATTTATCACAGTGAACATCCACAAGAACACACTGAATTCTATCTGGCAGGGAATTTAGCATGGCTTTCCTTTGTGTGCATCGCCTTTGCAGTGTTTAATATCAAATGGCACACGTGCCAGGTTGCTGCTATGAAAACCAGATTCCAAACAGGTGCTGCAAGCAAACGCCTCTTATCCATTACTTGTTTGAGAAAATTCTCCTTTTCAAAATGCAGGGTACCAAAATGTGGCTAACATGAAGTCAAGTCATAAAATCCTATTTACTTAGTTTAAAGAGACACGCCCCCCCCAACCTCACAAAATTTTAATTTTTAAACATCCTGGCTAAAACGGTGCTTCTAGATGTCATATTTTTGCATATATTACAGTAGATCTATATTTATAATAAGAAGCTTTATGTCCTATTCAAAGGAAATATAGTCTGTTAAGCAGATGGTCAGTATTACATAGAACCTTACTAGCATTGTGTTTTCTGGCAGTGAAAGATTCTAGTATAGAAAATTTCCTCTTGCTAAAAATATTAGAAGTACCAAGAACTATTGCATAAGAGAAAGTTTGTAGCAATCTTTCTGCCAGGCAGATGGTATGGTCAAAGACAACAATTACTTCTTCATTCACCAAGGCAAACACTACTTTGCAAAGATTTACAATGTTCTGAACACAAACACCTATGCAGGGGGGCAAAAAAACCCAGAATTTATTTTTTAAAATTGTGTATTTATTCTTAAATGTTTAAACTTCCGTCACCTTCCAAGTACTCTCCATTTGATGAAATAAACCTTTTGAGATGCTTTTTGCACTGCTCAAAATAGTTTCTGAACTCATCAGTTTTGATGCTTTTTTAGTGCTTTCGCCATTTTTTGTTTCACCTTTCCACATCGGCAAAATGTTTCCCTTTGAGAACTTTCTTCATCCAGGGAAACCCAAAAAAAGTTGTTCAGGGTGTGATTGGGTGAACAAGGTGGTAGGGCATGGGGTCATGCTGTTTTTTGGTCAAAAACTGCTGCCTGTTCAGTGTGGTGTAGGCAAGCGCATTGTCATGGTGGAAGAACCAGTCACCTGTTTGCCACAACTTGGGACATTTCTTCTGCAAATCGTGATTCAGTCTCTCAAAACTTCCAGATAAAAACTTTGGTTGACCATTTGATCCGGAGGAACAAATTCAGAGTATATTGCAAGGGGCCCACCTCCAAAAAATAATTCCAGGTTGTTTTGGGTCCTCCCTCATACGTGGCTGAGGTGAAACAAGCAACACATTGTCCCAAAAAAAACACTTAAGGCTTTACTTTAGCAGCATGAGAGTCACCTACCAGAGAGGTGCTGTTAAGGTTGGTTCATTTCAGGAGGGCCCAGCTAGAACCATAAAAGTACTCTGTAAGTATCATAAGAAACTCTTAGATTTTGAAGGCATTTCTCCTCTCATGCAATCCTGATCCTTAACTATTTCTCTAGACTCTTTCAAATGGGTCCATTCCTCTTCCCCAAGAAAAGTACACAGTGGCATGATAACAATCTAAGTGGCCAGAATATACTAGGCGATTTCTTCGGCTCCACATCCAGTGTTTATTAACTGAGGCTGAGGATTAGGATGAGATGTCTGGAATCACGCCTGGTGGGGCTTGCTCCTCTGGCCAAGAGACTGCAGGCTTATCGGTTTACAGGGCAATTCTCCACTGCTCCCACCACCAAAAGTTTCCCTGGGACCGATTCATTCGCAGAGCCTTCCAAAGACACAACAATAAACTTGTCTGTCCTCTGGAGAGAACCAAGGCCTATAACAATGTCCTTCTAATAGTTCCAGATCATAAGAAAGCTCAAAAGTCTAGACATATAAATCGAGGATATCCCAGAGCCTATGGAAACACTGCTCATGGGTAGCTCCTTTTGGTAAAACGCTTTGGAGGGTTTTTACCACACAAAACCACTGATCCTTTGACAGGTTTGAGCTTTTCTTCTGTAAACTGCCAGTCATGTGTTTTTCAAGGAACTTAAAACAAGCACCTTAGTTCTGATAAGCTAGAACAATATACAAGGAGCTCCTATCCCAGTGAGGGAAACTGAGCTACCTCATTCGTAACCCTATTGGGGTAAGTTGTTATAAACATGGTGATCAGTCCTGATTCTCCCAAATGACTTTGGTCCTTTTGTACAACTCTTCTACATTGCATCATATTTTGACTATTGTCAAAGATTTGGCAAGAAGCTAAAATTACTGACTTTACTAATGTTTCTATGAATTTTTATTATCAATTGCTAGACAATCAGAGTTGGCTGTACAGCTAACATTCAAGAAACACAACAATTTCTGCCCACATATGCTGTCCTTGACATTATTACTAACTCTCTTATCTAAAACCTGCACAGAAAAAAATTACTTCTATCAGATCCTACCTTAATTCTAAATGAATATTCAACTCCAGGCCACGGAGAGGGCATCACTGTAGAAACCGCAGCATCTGCTAACATCCTCAGGCTTGTTCTGGGGCTTATCCCAGTGGAATACGGAGCCTATCATTCGTTAAACAAACACTCTCTGGGGAAAGCAACGACAAGCACGAATAAAGTGTGGTGGCCGTCTTAAGGATAGCTCCGCTTAATGGCAAGACTAGGGATGGCGCTAACTGCGGTGGCAGAACTGCAGGCAGTAGCAATATTTCCTCTCAACACTTAGAAATCTCTCGCTAACACAGCATGCACAGAATGACTGAGCGAGCTGGCAGCGTTTTCCCTATATCAAGCTATAAGCCAAGGCAAATTTAAGAATTCACAAATTATCTTTGGGATTGCAAAACAGTATATGTACAAAACCAACATTTCAAAAGGGCATTTTCCCATCTGAAATCCCTTCATCTTAATTCTGTAGCAGAACGACACATTTTATATAAATATTCAATCTTGTATACATTTTCGGTTTTGAGATATGATTCAAGAAACAATGTGTTATTTGGGGAAGAGCTAGGGAAGAAAGCAATTCGTTAATTAGCAGAAGCCACATATACCCTGTTTATTCTCTCCTAGAGAGGGAAGGGTGACTGAGAAATGATGTGCAAATCAGGTGGGAAGATGTCATTCAATTCCCCACAGAAAGTTCACACCAGAATAATGTGGATGCCAGAAGACTGAGTTTGACAATGTAGTGCTAGACAGCACTTGAAATACATGAACAAAAAATTCAAACCCTTGGTACTGATCAGCCTCTCTGCTCAGAAAAGGGAGCAAAGTGTCTCCCTGGGAGTGTCTGACCTCCTCCTTCAGCCATGGCCACAAGTGTGCTAGCACCTAACCAGGTAAAACATGGAAAGAGGGGAAGAAAACACTAATGCCTACTGGAGTTATTTACAGGAAACCCAAACAGAATTCATAAAAATAAATGTAAGAACTCATCACCTAAACTTATGACCACTGTGCATTACACTAGAATAGTTATCTTCATGATCGTTATCAACTGTCCTTTCAAGGTCAGAAAACTAGCAACAATCCATCTGGTCATCTTCTACTTTGTATGCGCAGTTAATATCTAATACTTCAAAAAGAGAAATTCCCGTAACTGTACCTCACGGTATATGCTGCAAACGGATTACCCTAACAACATTGGTTTCAAAATTCTGACCTTCACACAAACATTTTTCTTCCGTCTTAGACTTTTCCTAATAATACTCCACACCTCTGTGGTGCTTGAGTTGGTTTTCAATGCGTTCCACACCCCCGTCGTCTTCACGTGACCTCTCCCCATCCCCGACAACTCGTGAGGTATCCAGGGCAGGCATCGGTACCCCACTCTACAGATGACCCTGAGACTTGGGAAAGTGACTCAATTAAGGGTCACATGGCTATTAAGAATCAAAAGAGGAACTAGAAACTATCCTAATCCAAAACTCTTTCCCCACATAATGGACGGGAATTGCTTCTATCAATTTGTGCATCAGCAATCCACATCCTTTGCAACTCCTGGCAACTGAGTCGATAAATAAGGTGACTGGAAAGGAATGGCTCTACTTTTACTGCTTTAATATAAAAGTCTAAGTGGTGAAGTCAGAAAAATTAACTTCTTCCCAGTCCAGCCTCTAAACCTGAGCATGGCCCTATAATGCCTTAAGAAACGGGGAATAAAAATGAACATCCTGCGTGTGGACGCTGAAGTGTAAAATGGAAGGGAGACGGAGAGAGGAGCCACCATCCCTCAGAGAGCCGGACAGAAGGCACTTCAGACAATGTCCTCGGCAGGGTGGTGGAATGCACGTGTGCCCAGGGTGGAGAACTGGTGCCAGTTCCGCAGGAAGCCCCTATTGTACTGGCCTGTGTCCACGATGAGCCCGCAGAGGAGCCGGCGTCCAGTCTTCTGTCGAAGGGCCTGCTGAACTTCCCTCTCGGTCACATTGTAGCTGATGTTTATCAGCTGGATCAGGAAGATGTAGGCCATACCCGCTGTGATGATCACAGAGTACCACACACAGGTGAAGGACAGAGCCGAGCTGGGAGGGGGAAAAAGCCAGTCAGGGATGCTGTTTTTGTCACATTCAGAAAGCCGTCATCATCCTAACATTTTACACGTTTTACTTAGTAAGGACTCTGGCACCTTCCCCAACCCTCAAAACTGCAAGACACTCAGAACATATTCTATTTTATTCTATAATTACTGGTGCCTGCTTTCTAGTATGTTATACTAGAAGAGCAAGGACTGTTTTTGGCATTTTGTATCCTCCACATTGTGTGGCCTGACATAATGATTTCAACATCTGTTTGTTAAATGAATGAGTAATTCCTAAACTGTATCTAGCTCAGGAGAAAACAAAGGCGCCACGAGACTGCCATAAATGTCTTCCAGGAAGCTGCAGGTGGGCACTAGGAACAGCACTCAAGTTTATTCATCTCCTTTCTTCCCAGTCAAATGCTGAGGAGCACAAAGAAGACAACTCCCAACACCAGTACCCTTTGCTTACTTGCAAGAGATGTAGGAACACCCTCACATTTCAAATTCAGCATCCTAGAGCCAAACAGAGTCCCACAGGGCAGGAAAACTCCCTTCAGGCTCATTAATGAGACTGCGAGAAGGGGCAGCCGATTAGTGTCTCCTGTTTGGTTACTTGCATTCAGACATTCACAGGTGAAGAGTCAGTTGGGAATTCATTCATTCAGAATCTTCATCTGCAAAGCTGAAGGAACCCCAGAGATGACCCAACGCAAGGATCTCCTCATCAAGAAGGAGGCACGAGTCACCCACATGGCGTAGGGGTGAGAACCGAAGGCAGTTGTGTCCTCGGTTCACTGACGTCACCCCACAGAGCACACAGACAAGCTCCACTTCAGGTCGTTCATCACCCACAGTGTTAGCAAAGAATTTCACAACCTAGTAAGACTCTCTGCCTAACTAGGAAAGAAACGTCCTAGGAGAGTTCTTAGGAAGCGGCCCCGTCTATCCTTAAAATGCCCATAACTGTCTAGCTCTAAGATGACAACAGGGAGATCTGTCCACAGGCTAATAAAAAACATGCCGCACGGGGGTGCTGGGTAGAGAAGGCGGGGATTGTTCTAAAAACAAAGAATGAGAAAAAAGAAAAGGGCCAAACCACAGATACCACAGAGCACTCATGTCAGTGGAAAAGAGTGCAGGAAAGAGAACAGATAACACAGGCAGAGGGAGACTCTGGTGTTGCAGGGGGAGCAGTGGTTGGCCCAAAGCTGAAGGAGCAAAGCTTTTGCCACAGCACGGAAATCATCACAATACAGAAATGGGCCCAATCTAACAACGCCAAAGGAAATTTTGACCTACATACCACAGTAATCATGAGTGGTGATTAAAAAAAAAAAGTAGAACAGGAAAAACTGAGAAAGGTTAAAAAGAAAAAATAAGGTCATAGAAATGTGAGCACTTCTCAAAAGGGTTGGAAGCAGCAAATTAAGACTGGGCCTGGGAGCGGTGACTCACGCCTGGAATCCTTTGGGAGGACCAAGGCAAGAGGACTGCCTGAGCCTAGGAGTTCGAGACCAGAATGGACAACAGGGCAAGAGCTCGTCTCTACAAAAATAAAAAAATCAGCCAGGTGTGGTGGCGTGTGCCTCTAGTACCAGCTACTTGGAAGGATTGTCTGAGACCAGCAGGTCAAGGCCGTAGTAGCCATGAGCATGCCATTGCACTCTGGCCTGGGCAACACAGTGAGATTCCAACTAAAAACAACAACAAAAAAAGATTGGGCTGAAATGCTTTAGAAGGCAGTTATAAAATGAGGAAAGATTCCTGATATTTATGACAAAACAGGCTGGGACACCCTGCAACACACTCTGCAACTGCTAGCTTTTATTTATTGTTTTAATTTCACTGTTGTTATCTTAGGCATGTGAGTGGTCATTTGACCCTGGAAATCCCTGATTAAGTCCTGTTTATAGACTACTGGTCCTTTATTTTATTTTTTTATTTTTTTTTGAGTTGGAGTCTCACTCTGTCGCCCAGACTGGAGTGCAGTGGCCACTCCCGGCCACCGCAGCCTCGACCTGCCGGGCTCCAGCG